GCCAGAAATCTATCACTTTGAAAGAATGCCGAAACTTAAACTAAACCATTCTTTGAATGTGCATTTGGAACTGACTGTCAGCCTTTGTTATGCGATGATCTCAGTCTAAAGACCATTGGGATATCGTACGGATGATCGTTATATTGATCCTGTTCTTTAGTAGTTATTCGTCAAAAACTGCACTCTGTTTGTGAAAGCTGCGTTGCCAGAGTATGGTATCAATTTTCAACTCATTTTGTCCCTGAGCGTGATATTCTGGTGAGATACTCCCTCAAGCACTTTACGCCCCCTCGATTCTACTACATTCAGAAAATCGACTACTTTCTGTCTGTTTAACCAGGGGAAACTGGTTCGACTGTCGACTGGAAAATATTACAAGGATCTGGAGCGGGATTAGACTTGTGATTGACGCTCGGTGACAGGAGGGTCTCAACGCAATGGCATCATGGCTTTCTAACCTTCAGGTCGCGTCCCATGACGATTATCAGGTTTTGAAGTGATCTGTAGGTCTACAATGGTCTACTTCGGCTATCGAACGAATTTACAACCTGAAACAGCGATGAGGCAATAGGTACAGAAATACAGAAAAGTAATCGTAACCATGTGAGGGAGACGTGATGTTTTTGGTTCTCATTTTTACCTCACGCAAATCGATTGTGCCATTTTACTTGTTATTGAGACTTCAGAACCAAACAACCCTTAATGGCGGGTACGATATGGTGAATTATCCCAGATAATTTGTGGGTAATTTGGCCAAAGAGGGAAAGTCACTGCTGAGTGTCCGCAATCCTCAACAATCGCTTGATTGTATCAGAGAGAGCCTGTAATTCCCCCCGCTTTATGAATATCACATGCCGGAGCTTCTTAGTTGCAGACGACAATTGTCGGCTGCTTCGGCGGCAGTGAGCAGACGATAGAAGTGTCCAATCGATCGTTTAAACAATACAGTGTCTCGGGGGTGATCCTTGTTTTCATGTAGAAACTGCGAAACAAGCCGGTAGAGTAGAACGCTTCCAGTGCCAGGAATACAATGACACGCGTTCTGGTCATGCAGACACAAACGCAATTGTATCTCTGAACACAATGATACGTACCAGGGCGTCAAGTAACACAACCATCAGGGCGAACATTTGATCAGGATACATTCTCGGGTTTGTGATGTATACATACATTTTCGAGCCTGTATCTCCTCTGTTTCTTACAACGTCCCCTGTCCATCGACTTCTTATTGTATGTGTGATGTTTAACCGATAATACTGACGGTAGACGTTTTTGTATCGTTATTGCAAACAGGCATATACTGCGTGTGTTGGCCTGTGAACTAGCGGTCGGGCCGCGACAATGCAACACAGTGATAGCACTTACTAAGTGAGTTGGATTTTACACCATTTTTACCAATATTCCAGCAACATCACGGCGGGGATCACCAGGAATTGGTTTCACACATTGTACCCATGTGGGGAATCGAACCCGGGTCTTCGGCGTGACGAGCGAAAGCTTTAGCCACTAGGCTACCCCACCGCCCCTGGCAGTTACTGAATCGGTCATGGATCCAACTACTTTCTTCATATTTCTATAATGGTCCAGAAAGCCAAACCGTGGCGAGTGAAAGAGGAACAGAAAAAACAGATGTCTATGTCAGCTAACCAAGTCAGGGATTTGTCACATACCAGACATTTTCATGACATTAACAGTAAACATGAACATGATTAACGTCGGTAGGCCTCTTTTGAGTGGTACAAGAAATAAAAAACTTCTGAATTTTGTAAAAAAAACCAACTGGCATAACCTTTAACATTCGTTAATAAACAAATTGTAACTATTTGAAGAAGAATGATAATTTTATGTATAGTGCTCGACAATTCACAAAATAAAGAAGTTATACACCCATAAAGAAGTTGTATATCCATAAAATTATCATCTTTCTTCATCACCTCAACTTCTAGAATGCCCATCAAAGAAGTTGTATATATTTGCTAAATTATCCTAGTCCGCAAAGTATTATCAGCCAATTTGTAATTTGTGATGCTGCGTAAATATCCCTTTACAGGATTAAAGTTTCCATCCGAGAAATGTGTTTGATAAGTTTATACATTTTCAAGCTGAGTTTGGCTGTTATAGCTCATTATTCATGTACTTGCTTTGTCGTGGTATATGAATCAGAAGGCCCCGAGGCAGTGATGCTTAGTGGTATTGAAAGTGGTATTAGATGGGCTAGACGGAACGTGATGAGAAACGATCATGAGGAACCGCCACTAACCAAAAACCTGTTTGCCAGGAAATTGTACCACTGATCACGATCAGAACAGAAAACAAACTGAGGAAATATGTCTGTTTCCGAAATAACAGGAAACATGAGAAATTCCAAAATCTCAAGCCAAGGTTTGTCTTCTTAATTAAGAGCGAGAGCTTTCGTTGGATTTGAACAGGGCTTTGAACAAAATTTCAGTTTTATTGCGGTGTGGTAGGAAAGCCCAAAGTGATGGTCGAGGTTTGCCAGAAACATTATATGACGCTCACAAAAAGGGAATCATTTTGGCTTCGAACCTACAACTAATGGATCGCGGTAGTACGTTAATGAGTGAGATACCAGAAAAGGGCTTCACACATATTACGAATGTGGGGAATCGAACCCAAGTCTTCGTGACGAGCGAACGCTTTAACCACCAGGCTACCCCACAGCCCGGATCCTGGCGGGATACGGTCGACAACTCTACCATACTGCTGACAAATGTTCACTCATTTGCTACCAATACGAAAAACCGTTTCCTATGTGGCCCAAAATGTGAACAAATTGATAAACAAAGAAACACTCAAATAGAATGATAAAAAATACACCTATTTAACAATTCCACGTTGCCGGAAAGTGATTTGCTGTTGCATCAAATAACCAATAATATACACGTCCTGTATTCAAAATATAACCATGTCATTAGTTACTTTTGCGAAAACAAATAATTATAATACAAAATGAAATGGTGTGATAACCGAAAACAACATTATAACATGAAATATGTTCATTTTTGTGTTGATTACAATATAACAAATATACTAAACCAGACAAAAAAGGTATAAATTTAAATATTGGATTTGACCATTACAAATGTCAAAACATTGCTAGGCTGAAAACTGTCGTTGAAAAACTGCAAACTTAAGTTCCAAAACATAACTCTTTTACAAGTTTCAAAAACATAGTCCTCGAATAGCTTTTCCTGATCATTTCATTTCTAGCCACCGTCAAATATGGGTGTATACTTTCTTTTGACCGTCAGTTTAGGTCGAGTTTACACAATGATCGCATTAGCTTGAGTATGACCCATTATCTTATAGGCGTAATATGTGTTAAAATGATACCATTATCTCTATCTAACTCACATGTCATGTTGGGTTCACGTACTCTACTCAGTGAGATAACAATGTGACGGCTCGTACTTGCAGGTGGCATATCAGATCCAGAGGTGAAATATTAGTGCACTCAGTGTTGCAAGCCCGTATTATATTGTGGCCTTTCATATCTGTGTAGTTGTGGTACCTCTGACCATATACGTCACAGATGTGTCCCAGACCACACAGCTGGTCAAACATCATGTCACCCAAAGTGTCACACGTCATGTCACACGTGTCAAACATCATGTCACACAAAGTGTCAAACATTATGTCAAACAAAGTGTCAAACACCATGTCAGACAAAGTGTCAAACATCATGTGACACAGCTGATCAAACATTATGTCAGACAAAGTGTCAAACATCATGTCAGACAAAGTGTCAAACATCATGTCAGACAAAGTGTCAAACATCATGTCAGACAAAGTGTCAAACACCATGTCAGACAAAGTGTCAAACATCATGTCAGACAAAGTGTCAAACATCATGTCAGACAAAGTGTCAAACACCATGTCAGACAAAGTGTCAAACATCATGTCAGACAAAGTGTCAAACATCATGTGACACAGCTGATCAAACATCATGTCTCACAAAGTGTCAAACATCATGTGACACAGCTGCTCAAACATCATGTGACACAGCTGCTCAAACATCATGTCAGACAAAGTGTCAAACATCATGTGACACAGCTGCTCAAACATCATGTGACACAGCTGCTCAAACATCATGTCAGACAAAGTGTCAAACATCATGTGACACAGCTGCTCAAACATCATGCCACACAAAGTGTCAAACATCATGTCACACGCTACAGCAATGATCGTGTGATACATTATGTGACATGTCACATAACATGTCACACATTAAACCAATGATCACGTGACACACAACATGTTAAACATCTGTCAAGCAACATGTGGCACAACGTGTCAATCAAAAGGTTACACGTGATGACAATGATCGTATGAAATTGGCATCCTGTAAAACATGTCACCAGATGTCACACATGTCACGATGGTGTCACACTGTCAGCCATACATGTCCAGCCTTTAAAGTATATGGTATCGTAATTCAGGTAGAACCGTAAACATATACATCCTCTCGCCATATCAAACCTGTTTTCATTTCAAAATATTATTATCGTACACATATTCATGACAAGTACATGAATAAGTAAAAATAATAGTGAACATGTCTCGATAACAAAACAAAATATAGTAAAATAGATAGTAACGTCGTTCTAAATTGACTCAACTTTGAATTATTTCAGGAAGGGTCCTGAGATGCAATGCTGTTTGCCATATATATCGATGTCACCCCTCACAAGAGAATCCTATGGGTGGTATTGATCACAAGAGAAACCTGCCCTAACTCCAGGCCCCAGCGTTCTGTCAGATCGCACGGTTCATTATCTATCAAAACGATTGCTGAGCAGACTACATCAATAACCTCAATCTTCCCCTAAACTAACAAGGAGGTCAAAAATAATTTTCATACAGAAAGTGTTACGCCTCTCGTTGGGTGTTACCCCATTATGTGTAGATAAATATTTGATGAAGTGCTAAATGAACTATCACCTCCAGTATTGACCGCATAGGACACAAAACACATGCTATATTAATCAATTCAGTCTATTTGCAGCAGCTCAAATACATGCATTGAAAAAATAGTATAAAAAGATTAAACATTTGTTGTAAGTATTTCATAATATAAACATATTTCATAATATAAACACATTCATAATGACATATAAGAAAAAGGGATATGTAACGGAACAAGGAATGCTTGTTTTTGTTCAAACCGAACACTTACTCAGGGAATCAATTAAACTGACTAATAACAAACTCTGTCACTTCAATATTGATGGTTCTAACAAAGGGTTGACATCATGACAATACGAAGTTCTAGTTAGACCAGTGAACAAATTCATGCCATGGCTTAACAGTGTCCATTTATAAGAGCTGTGCTGGGGGATGCTTTAAGGTCAAATAAATTGTTTCTCACAAAATCTTTCTCCCTTTGAAAACAGGTACAACAAAAACACAGTAGTAACTCCAGATTCGCTTTAGTTTTCGTGGAACAGAACAGGAAACAAATACAGAATGTCTTACTTCACAACACTGTAAAGAATCCATACGGAAAATGATTCAGAATAAGACCAACATCCAATCCTTCTAATGTGTCATCTGGTTTGGCTTGACATCTCTGGTAAATTCCACTAGTTAAAAGTTGCATTCATATTCCAGATTAGCTTAATGATCCTATCAGCTGAGTTGATAATCGATGCCTAACCTTGGTTGGAGACCAGGCGATTGGAATTTGACATTGATGGTGCCATTATTGGATACACGGAACATTCAGCGTTCATAGCCATTTACTGTACACGTTAACAATATAATTGAATCACTCACTGACTTCTTTTTGCGGCGTTTTATCCATATCCTGTAGCCACTGTCTAATTCTTCCATCTCGAAACGATTTGGGGCCACGTTTATAGCAAACAATATGCTGTCTATATGCTTCGTCATACACCTCCTCGAATGACTTATCATTGGGAAGTTCATCGTCGTCAAGGCTGTACGTCTCGGTAGATTCGGATGGAAGGAGACACAACTTGGCCTCTGTGATGTCTCCCCGTTCTAAGGATTCCTTCTGAGCAGCTTTGAGATTGGCACAGGATTGGGAGGCCCTTGTGACCCCCGAGTCAACACTAGTTCGGTCTTCAGGGTAGGACATTAGACGCCGGAGTTGAGCCGCCTTTTCGCCGGTGGGCTCGACAAACCGTTCCGACATAGAAGTGCTGTCTGAAGAAGAATCGTTGGATATTAATCCTATGCTTCTTGCTGTGCATTCACTATTTAGAGAAATCGCGCTACCCACCCTGCTTGAGCTCGAGAGTACTCGGAGGGAGTTGGACTGGTCAAACGCCTCCAGCCATTCCATGTCCTTTTTGTTGGGATCTCTGTTGCTCATGTCCAGATCCACGGACCTACGGGTCATCCGGGGGGAGCAGAACACACCCAGTTTAGAATCGGACCCTCCATCGGAGTTATTTTCCCCGAAACGATCAAGTGCCAAGTTTGGCATTGAAGCAGCCGGCAACCCCATATCTGTCTGGTAGGGGGATAAGACACATACATCCGGGTCTCCGCGATCTTTATCCTCTAACACAATTTTTGGTATATTAGTCATATCGCTGGTTTTCGGTGCAGACGACGGTCGACGTTTGTTACTCTCGTCCGTTTTCCTTGGGTCTGCCGCCATAGTCGGCTAGCTCCGGCACACAGCTACTCCATGCCAACCTCGTGTGTCGCACCATCGATTTCCGACCGACTGCCCGACAGCCGGCTCGCTCGTCTTCTTTTTCCACTTGATCTGAAGGCTCTCACCTTCTGCAAGAGTCGTCGCGCACTGTCTCTTCCCGCTCGCTGTCTGTGAACCATACAAGGGTAGGAGAAGGTTATTCCCTGAGAGAGGTCTTTTCAAACACCGTGAATTGTGGAATCATATTAACCGGGCGTGTAACAACAGGGCGAGCTGACCTAACAGCTTAAGCAGAGTTCTTCATTGTGCTTGACGAGATCTCGTGAACGGCACGGGTTCTGTATTACACCGGCGTGTAGTAACATTGTCACCCGCCCGCGACATGTAACACGACGGCTGCAATACAATCGTCATTGGTTGAATCCGACTAATCAATCACACCTCTATCTCAATTCAGCGAATACAGGTACAGTCCGACCACGACGCGATGTCGGCACATGCTGAGTGGGAATCAATACCATTACTGCCTTCCGCTGTTGGCGAGACACGTCGACCGTGAGGAGGCAGTTTGTCAGTTAAACTGCTATTGTACAGCCGATAGCGATAAAATGATGTATGGCGTTCTAGGAACAGCAATTTGTCCAATCAAAATGTGCAGTTGAGATTATGACTACCTGTTGTTATGATCAATACATCCGGATTAACTCGAAGGCGTTCTATAAAAAAACAATGGATTGATTTGGCATCAGTGGTAATTCATAGGTTAGGAGGAGGTTGACATCGTAATATACACTGATCGATCGCCCATTGTCAATACCATGCCCCGATGTGGGCACATCATTGTTTTCGGTCGACTTAAATGCATTTTATATTGAATGTCAATAGTGCTGTTTTTAGTACGACATAAAGAATGCTGTACACAAAGGATTAGTATTACGGTGAGCGATCTCACTCGGCTCTCACACGTCATTAATAACTGCAGTCTGCCGCGACAACGGCATCGTACGACATCACGGGGCAACGTTCCCGACATACATAACGCCACGATAACAACCATCAATGAATAGAGATCCTCATCGTGGAACAGACTGGGATTCGAACCACGATCATCAGATTCTGACAAGACTAAGGGAGACATCTTGTCACAACGAATTACAAAGTCAAAGAAATACTGTCATCACAATAGTTCCATAAACACAGTGTCATTACTTATGTCTAGTATCGGATGAAGGTGAATTCGAACATGTGTTTTTTAGTCAACGGCTGTTTGCATTCATTTAGATACAGTCAAACACGGTTGTCTCGAAATTGAATAGACCTTTGTACAATATTCGACTTATCCGATGTTCGATGCAACCTAATAACGACGAACAAAGAACAATTAGGAACAAGCTTTTACATCGAAACAACCTTATGTTCGACACATCGAGGTTCGTCACAACGGTGTTAGACTGTACGTTCTGTTATTGTTAATTTTGTTATAATTGTTGTTTTTCTGTCTTATTTTCACTTGTAAACCTTCCTTCCGCCTATGTACCTTATTCGAATGTCCTACTTATTGCTATTCTATATTTCTTGGGGCGGTAGGGTAGCCTAGTGGTTAAAGCGTCACGCCGAAGACTCGGGTTCGATTCCCCACATAGGTACAATGTGTGAAGCCCATTTCTTGTGTTCTGGTGATATTGTTGGAATATTGCTAAAAGCGGCGTAAAACCACACTCACTCACTCTAAATTGTTCTTATTCGTGTTTGTTTGTTTTGCAACACCCCGCTGAGCCATTCAAGATGGCGGTTTGTAAACAATCCAGAATGTGGTGAGACCTATTTACAGCTGTTTATATGTTCGGTGACTGCAGAAAATTTATACAGTGTTGAACCCTGGTATCTATTGTCCCACTGAGTGACGGAGTGTACAGGCATGCGTGATGGATGACACATCCAACTGTGACATGTCTGTCGTAAACTTTCATTCAAACAGGACATATATGAATCATAATACAGTCTTTGCAACAACTGATCAAATCGTGAAATCTTTTCAAAGCAAATTGAAACTCGCTGCACCTTGAAGGTGACAACTGAAGCGTATAAAACATGTTTTTACATCGGGCCTGTCAGTATTTGAACTATCAACGCATAATCTATCAATGACTGTATATTTCTTTTAGAAATGATTGTAGGTTTCTTTATATACTCAACGACACAAGTAACTGGGCTGTGTGTATGATAAAGGGGGAGTCGAGGAGCGTATTACTCAAACCGAGTTCCGTCTATAAGCTTTAAAGTGTACCGTTGTTAACCTGGTTTCATACCGACCCATTGGACCTTATAGAATTGAAACAAAAATTTAAATTAATACAAATGTTAAAACTATTCTAATTCAAAGTCCCTCGTTCTTCTGGGTTAATTATTCAGTTATCCCAGTTCAAAGGTTCATCTATCCCAGTTATCCTATGATCCCATGATCGTATCCTATGGTCAGTTATTTTTGCATTTGAGTATACCTAAATGGTAGACATTGATTGGAGAGACAGTACCAGGCTTGTCGCGTGTGGATATATCAGCTGCGCGCAGTTGTTCAACTTTGTAGAACGGCCCCATGAACTGGAGGCTGTTACGGAGAATGGAGTGTCCATTATACCGGTGCAGTGTCACGTCATCCAAGCAGGGAAGATTAAGTGACTCTTAGCTAATTGTTCGTTCCAAATATATTACAGATGAAAACTGAGTCCATTAATTATGTGATGTGACAACGTGAGTAGATCTTTTTCAACAATGGGATTGGATCTTTTGTAATGATATATGCGACGGCTGTGTCCGTCACTGGTTCCCGGATCTACGTGCGCTGCGACAACATGTGCCACGTGAAGACGGAGCCAAGCTTAAGCGTTTCCTCGTCCTCAGAAACGGTCATTTGGCGTAGTTAGTCATCACTGCACATGTCTGGATTAACGATTTTACAACATTCTGGTACTTTTCCAGAAAGTGTAACCAGTACATTGATAGGTGTATTATTACATTTATTGTTTGGCGTTTCGGCGTAATTGTTGACGAGTCAGTTCCCTTACAGACCTGTGAAGACCTGGGCCACGTTTCACGAAGCACTAAGGTGATCGTATAGTCACTAGTGAGTAAGTGAGTTTAGTTTTACGCAGCACTCAGCAATATTCCAGCTATATGGCGGCGGTCTGTAAATATTCGAGTCTGGGCCAGACAATCCAGTGATCAACAGCATGAGCATCGATCTGCGTAGTTGGGAACCGATGTTCATGATGGCAATCACTGGATTTCTATTCGTCGACAATAACAAGGTGCTTCATTGATTAATGCTTTATAATTTTATTATTGTTTTAATGAACTTTGAGAAATTTCACAGCATATGCAGTCTCAGTTATGTCTGACATACATGTATAATAACAGAGACCATATAATATTATTATTATTATATGGTCTCTGATAATAACTAAAACTCCAAGTGCCTGTATTGAAATCCCTTACAATGCAAACATCGATAGTGCAAGTGTTTATCAAAAGTTCCCGAAGTGATGCCGTGGCCAAATGCCAGTTGCGTGTGTGGAGTGCACGATAACATGCAACCACATGTATAAGTAGGGAGTGAGAGACTAGTTTTACGCCGCTTTTAGCAATATTCCAGCAATATCACGGCGGGGGACACCAGAAATTGGCTTCAGACATTGTACCCATATGGGGAATCGAACCCGGGTCTTCGGCGTGACGAGCGAACGCTTTTACCACTAGGCTACCCACAGCCCACTTGTATAAGTATTTGTGCGTGTGTGTGTGTGTGTGTGTGTGTGAGAGAGAGAGAGAGAGTGAGAGAGAGAGAGAATAATCAACATCACCTATATCTATTAAACGTGAAAAATATTTCATAAAATTTCGAGTTACATAAAAAATACTACTACATGCAAGAATGATTTATTAAAATGATAAATATAAAAATATTAAGTGCCCCAAACATATCCAGCTGTCCCGCATATCAAATTCTCTATAAACGCAAAACAGTGCCACAATGAATGTATTGAACTGATGCTTTTGAAATGGGACAACGCCGTAGGCATATTTTGTAATTAATTATTGATATTTAAACACCAGTCTTACAATTAACATAACCTGCAGTTTGTTGTGTCGATGTTGTGTGTGTAGTATACACAAGCTGGCGCACTCACAATTGATGACCTGGCATTTGAATTCAACATCCTTGATCAAACATTTAAGTCTAAATTTAATCAGGAATGCTACGATGTTTTAACTCAATAATCGCGAATTCGAATTTCAACCAATTAGGCAGTTGTCCAACCTGAACATGACTTTCCTGTAATCACGTGATCCTCTAAATAAGGGGCCTGGTGTGATCGCCCTGTAATCTGAAAATCTGTATATGTAAATTATAAAATACAACTGTTATGTTGTATAAATACAAACAGAAATTGGAAGTAAATCAGTCCATTGGTCCTTTATGTCTGGTTTGAAGAGGATCATTGGAGCTGACAGCGTACGTCTATAAAAGAAAGCATTTACTCCAGGTTTTAAATGATTATTATTGGATATTTATATAGCGCACATATCCACGCACTAGTGCATGCTCAAGGCGCTGGTATTTTTTCCCTCGATCAATTGAATGTCAATCTCAACAGCACATCTTATTATCAATCTCAACTCCCTGGGGATCATACAACTCTTGCTGCCACAAGGCGCACCGAGTTGTTGCGGCTTTCCCATCCTTACGGGGTACCTATTCACAGCTAGGTGGACTGGGTCACATTGTTACAGAACTTTGTCCAAGTTTACTGCATGTTGCTGTACCCGCAACTAGGTGTTTGCACGTATTCATGTGGCCACCATCTGGTCATATACCAACGGATTCGTGGGTTCTTTAAAGTGCACAGGGTTGTGTACTGAACACTAGGGGTTGTGACAACACTGAAAGAGTCTGCACTCCAAGGTTTTTACACCCGGTCACAGGTGTGCATAAGTATATATCCATGTATTAAGAAGGGAAGTTCAGTACAACACTACATATATACAGATATCTTAACTCTTCCTTCATTCGCATGCAAACATATCACACGACAATGTTGGGGGTAATGTCAATTTTTAATTGACGACTATAGACATATACATTTAAAATACACCTCTAACATATACAAATTGCTTTAAAAAGTAGTACACAAAACGAAGGAATATCACAAGATTAAAGGAGAAAGGCTGACACACTAATAGTCTTTGACCCGGGTGGGTGAAAGGTCGCTGCCCCGCTGGCCGGTGACAGACTAACGCTGCTGGGTCAGATCGGGTCTCGCTTGACTGCTGCACGTGCAGGGGCTCTGGGTGTTTCCGCCACGTTCCCGAACACAGCCGAGTTAAACACAAAATTATCAGTTCAGTTGTTTCCTCCCTTTCATACTCCCTGGAGATAAAGTTCAAACTTAGGGTGAAAATTCTTGTCATGTCATTATTTGTGGACTTCCGTGTATACAGATCTAGTCACTGACA